ATTCAGCTGAATATCTCTCAATGAATAACAAACTTTCCTCAATAACCGAGGAGAGAGACCTTCTAAATGCAACTGTCTCTGTAGTGAGTAACCAACTTTCTTCTATGACTGAGGAGAGAGACCTGCTGAAGGCCAACCTCACTGAAATGACCAAAGAGCTGGAGAGACTGCAGAGTTTATTCAACCAGAGTGAGTCCTTGTCTGAGCTGTTGTGTGTCTTTGTAAAAGATTTTACACTGAAATTCAGTGATTCCGTTTTCCAGTGATAGATGGAAATATTTTCTCAATATATCTGAACTGACAGAAATTTAAGAAAACAAACTTTAATCTTCATGGATATGTTTCACATGAATCATTGTCATCATTGTTGCATCTTCTCTGCATTGCAGTGTCAGTGCCACAAGATGTTTTATATATAGATAGTATAAAATATAGATTTCAGTTAATTAACAGAGACCAAATAAAGAATTGCCGAATGTTCCATGTTGGTCTTTAATATTTCTTATTTGATGTTTCTTTCAGAGAAAACCTGTCCTACAGGATGGAGAAAGTTCAGTTGTAGCTGTTATCTCCTGTCTGAAAACTCTGGTTCCTGGCAATCAGCTAGAAAACACTGCACAGACCAAGGAGCAGATCTGGTGGTGATAGACAGCCCTGAAGAACAGGTACAAAGTGCATGCGTGTGTTGTATTGTGTTTTTAATTGAATATTAAAATTCAAACACCCCATTGTTATGAACATGAATTTGCCCAGTTAGAAAAAAAAAGTGCTTCCATAAAAATTTTATAATGTGGTTAGTTTAACAGCCATGATTCAGTCTCTCTGGACACCCAGTATAACTAGCAAAATTCATTTTGTGAGTAAATACAGAATGTAGTTAAACTTTTTTCTTCTTAGGTGAACAATAAAAATCATCAAAATCATTCATCTAATTGTGAAAATCTGTCAAATCCCCGAGTATAGGTGGATCAAAGTTGCAACAACTTGTAAAGGTTGAGGAGAATGCTTTTTTTTAGGGGGCAACAACCTTACAACTAGTGAACAAAGCTGTGTGGTGGTATAGCAAGGAAAATATAACAGACTATAAGAAGATGCAGCATGCACACAGGTTATTCCCCCATTACACTGAAACAATTGGGTATGACGGTGATGAGAATCTGTAGCCAAAGGGGCAGAAATAAAAGGAGTCTAGTGATTAATAACATGAATGTTTGTGTGCTTGTTGAGCAGATCTTCATTGCTTCATTCACCCAGAAACGGACTTGGGTTGGTTTAAATGACATAGAACAAGAGGGAACATGGAAATGGGTAGACGGAACGCCTCTGACTCTGCAGTAAGTCTTCATGTTCATCCAATATATTTAAAATATTTATAATAGTCGTTGAACATGCAGAATAACTTCATTGATGAATTTAAATATTATTACAATCACAGGAACTGGCTTGTTTTGGGATGGGGGGATTGTTGTTATCCATAATTCACAATGGGTTAAACATGCTAGTAAATCAGTTGTCATTGATTTGAAAAATGTTTCCATGTTTTAAAGCTAATTAAAAGCTAATAATTCTGTTGTTTACTGACCCACCAGGTACTGGGCATCTGGTCAACCTGACAATGCATTTCCTAAAGAGAACTGTGCTCATATCAGATTTTATGAAAACACTTCCTGGAATGATTTTCCATGTCAAAATTCTCTCCAGTGGGTCTGTGAAAAACTATTTTAACACCACTGACTATTTTCTTATATGTGTACATATTCCTAAAATTAGACTATGACTAATATTTT